GATGCCTTTCTCTCCAATGTAAAAACATAAATACAAGGCATGCTAGCTGCTCATCACTCAGAAGTCTGATCACAGAGAAAGAAAAGGAACCAGTCTTCACTTGGGATTCACCAGTGTCTTATACTTAAAGGGGGTTTCTTGTAGCATATAGTTTGATTTTTAAATCTATTCTGACAGATTTACAGCTGATATATTTAAACTATTCACTGATATTCAGTGATTGATATAATTTTATAAATAAATATGTATAATTTTCATAAGTGTTTTCTTTTTCTGAGAGTTTTTCAAATTATGTTTTAATTATGTATATATGTATGTATCTGTGTGTGGGTATATGACTGTACCTGCAGGGTCCAGAAGAGGGAACCAGATACCCTGGAGCTGGATTTATAAGTAGTTATGAGCTGCCCAGCATGGGTGCAAGAGCTGTATGTACACTCTAACCACCAGGTCATGGCTCAAGGCCCTGTAAAGTGCTTTTTATTTGATATAGTTGCTTTTTGTGTGTGCCTTCCTCTCTTCTACTTTTTCTAGCTTTAATTGAGCATTTTTAATCACCTTATTTTCTCTCTTTGTCATATTAATTACAATTCCTTAAAGAATTCTGGTGGGTCCAGTGAGGTGACACATGCTTTTAATAATCCCAGTGCTTTGGAGGCAGAAGCAAGCTAAGCTCTGTAAGATCGAGGCCAGCCTGGTATACATAGCAAGTTCCAGGCCAGCTGGAACCATAGGGAGACTCTGTCTCGTCTCAGAAAAAAAAAAAAAAAAGTGTAGTGGTTGTCCTAGAATTTGAGGTACATACTTGCGCGAGCGTGCGTGCGTGTGTGTCACATGTGCAGGCACCTATGGAGGTGGGAAGAGGGCTTCGGATGCCTTGGAGCTGGAGTCACAGCTTGTTGTCAGTTGCTTGACGTGTGTTGGGAACCAAACTCCAGTGCTGTGGAAGAGCAGTAAGTGCTCCTGCTGCTGAACTGTCTGTCCAGCCTCTGCTTTTCCTTTCTCCATACAGCTTTGCCTTCTTTCATGATTTTCTCTTTGCCTTTGGTTTCCTGCAATTTCACTATATGATATATAGGTGCAGATTTTGAGTATTTATTCTGCTTAAATGTTCCCAACCTTCCTGAATTTGTGTTTTATTATCTGGCATTAAGTATTAAAATTATTTTTGTCTCACTCTCTCTCTTTTTCTGGTACTCAATGTATGTGCTGCCTGCCCTTCCCTCCTGCCTGAAACTACCCTGCAGTTCTTGAATAGTCTGTTCTTTCCTTTTGACTCTTTCTTAAAGAATTTCCAACTCCAACTCGATTTCCATTCTATGTTAGCATGCTACTTTTTCCGTTAGCATTCTCAATAGATTGTTATATTTATTTTAAATTCTGGATCTCTGATGATCAGAAAGTCCGCAAAGGCACAGCTGAGTTTACTTCTGACCCAATCTTGGTTTTATTTATTTTTTCTTACCTTTTACAAAACATTGTAACTTTTTTGACTATAGCTGGACATAATGTATTGGGTAATGGGAACTGAAGTAAACAGATTATTGGTGTGAAGCTTTATATTCAGATGGCTGGGACCTGATATATATTTAATATATTTAATACCTGCTGGGGCTGCCAGAGGCTGTGATTTCTTCCATGCCCCTCCTGGCTTTTTAACCCTTCTTGCCTTTGGTTTTCCCTAAGAACTCATTACATAGATCTTGTGTCTTGCATTTGCAATGCACTTTTATTATATTCATGGTCTACTGACAGTTGGATAGTACAATATGGGAGGAAAACATCCCATAAGGTTATAATTAAATATCAGTTTTTAAGTGGGCCTGAAATTCAGTGCTGTGATCTTCACGTATACTTTTAAATGCTTTTTTCCTTCTGTATGTGAGACAGAAAGGCTAGAGGAAGCTGGGGTTGGCTAAGTGTCCATCCCTTGGTGTAGATAAAGTTCTGGGAAGTCTTTTTCCCTTGGAAAATAGACTTGTGTTACTGAGAATACTTTGGAAAAATTGCAAAATTGTTTCTTCTCCTACTCAGGAAAACCCTGGGGAATATTTTCAGATAATTATGGTGCTGGTAGCCTTTCTGTTGTGAAAAGATACCAAGGAAAGAAGACTTATTTTGGTTCCTGGTTTCAGAGGTCTCAGTCCACAGATGTTTGGCCCCACTGTTTTGGATATTTGGGGAACAGAATATTAGACAAGGCGTGAGAGAGCAAAGCCGCATTTCTGTAATTCTAGTACTTGAGAAGTGGAGGCAGGAGGAGGGGCAGGAGGAGTGTGAGGCCAGCCTGGGCTACACAAGGAGATCCTGTCTCAAACACAAAAACACCATTTGTGTTCTCCATCAGCCTAAGGCCCTCCTGCATCCCCTGTCAGGTGAGTGATCGTCAAGCACTCTCCTGTCATTGCAGGCTTCAGGTGGCAATCTTTCTGTGAGCTTTATCCTCTGACAAGACTAAGAAAACACAGATTTTCAGTTTGTTCAGCCCTTTTCTTGTTGTGAGGATAGGAGTGGCAGATTCCAAGATCTATATGCCAAAGATGAAACTGGAAGTTTACTACTGGTTTTCAAAGACGTCTACATTTTTCTTGGTACATAATGTGCCAACTAAAATTTGTGAACAGTAATAAGCAAATAAATGTTGGAAAAATACATTTATGGAGAAAGGTAAGTATTCATTGAGGTTTAAGACATATGGTTCATCATGATGTTTTCAAAAGGGGCTAAACAATCACAGAAAATTAATTCCCTGGACAGTTATTACATCCTTATTTCAGTTTGAACAAATCCCTTTGGTTAGGATAGTGCACAAAGTGGTAAAGGTGCTGGGAAATCTCATGTCTCAGTGCCAAGATGCTAATGCTTGTTTGTTTGGGGGTTGAAAAATTTGAACATAATTAAAACAAAGCATTTAAGTTGCAATATCGTTTTTCAGTCTTTAAATTATAGAACAACAATCTAAAATTTTTCATGCAGATTCTGTCCTGTCTAAATTTTATATAAGCACATATGATTTTAATATGAAAATACAATAAAGAAAATGAATCAATTTTTAAAATAAATAAAAATAAACAAAAAGATCATCTATAAAAACAACTAGATCATTATTATTCATCTACTTGCAATACTTACCCACATTAATAGATGAATGAACTAATCTTCAGAGGGTAGTCAGAAGAATTTACATACATAATTATATTTACTGACATCAATTTCAAATTTTTAAGACAAAAAAAATCTAATATGATGGTGGGTGGCTAGAGTACACAGTTAAAAATAAACACAATGCAAACTAGTCTTGAATGTCATGTAGATCATTCAGAGTACAGGTTTTATGTATGCAATACATACATATGTATGCAGTACAGGTTTTTTGTTTGCCAGTGTCTACAAGAATCATGAACATATAGTCATCAAAAATACGAAGGTAAAATTAAAGTGTATCTTTACAACTGAAGCTCATAGTGTAAAAGGACACCTGTAGAAAGGAGAGACCTTTAAGAGCCAGGGGCAAAGTGAGCAATAAAGCCACTGGTGTCCCCTCCCTGCAACAAAAGACTCTAGAATATAATACCTGGAGAGAATTTAAATTAGGTATTTTTCTCTCTTGCTAAAAAAGAAAACAAAAAAATAGGCCAGGCGTGGTGGTGTAAACCTTTGATCCCAGCACTTGGGAGACAGAGGCAGGGAGAGAGTAAACATGCTAGAATTCCTGTAAGTAAAAAAGCAGATGGTCTGAAATGCTCTAGTCGTGTG